TGGATTTCTACATCCCTGTTCTACATATTGTTCAAACATGTGCAGAGTAACAATTAATGGCATCTCCACACACATATCTGGAACACATGGATCATTAATGTATATGGGGTGGTGCATGGGCGCGTTACAACGATCATACAATGATAGTATAGGCCAAAACTATTCTTTCTTAAATTATTTTAAACAATATATTTTTCAAATTATTCTTTCTTAAAATTCTTTCTTAATTAAGGGGTAATTCTTCTTAAAATTATTGCTTAAATTAATTAAGGAATAATGGAATCACTGGGTACTCGGCGGAGTCGTCGTGGTACTCGTCGTCCATCTCGCCGAAGTAGGTGCCCTTGCCGCCCTTGGCCTGCGCGAAGGGCCTGCCACGCTTGCCGCCCCGGTCCTCGTACATTGCCAAGAGTGCCTGCCGAACTTCTGCGTACCCAAGGCGGTTGCGGGTTGCCGCCTTCACAATCCGTCGCTCCTCTTCAGAAGCCGTGCTCATCTCGAGCACCATCCAGCCCCTGATCACATCCAGTGCGCTGAGGGGCATAAGCCCTTTCTCCATCAATCTCTGGAGCAGATCCTTGCCCCTTGCCTTGGGGGCCTCCGTGACCTTGTCCTTGCCCGAAGACGTTGTCGAGGATCGTGTTCCCCTCCGTGAAGTCCTGGACGCGCTCGAAGATCTCGAAGCCGGCCGCCCAGGAAGCGTGGTCGCCGAATACTCTTCCGGTTCGTCGTCTTCGGCCGCTGCCGCACCAGCGTCCATCTCCGCCTCGGGACCGAAGTAAAGAGACTCGTCCGGCCCCATGCCGCAGAAAGCCTTGAGCTCGTCCACGGTCGTCTCGTAGCCGTCGAAGGCCAGATCTCTTTCACGGAGCAGTCGCTGAAGGGCCTTGAGCATGTCGTCGTGGACCTTGTCCTCCCTGATCAGGAATGCCGGCAGGGCCTCCTGATTCCGACGCTGGAGCCTCCTGTAGTACCCCCCGATCTTGTTGCCAGCATCCGGCAAAGGTTGCCGGTTCAGAGGGGACTCTTCCAAGTACTTGACCAGCTTGCTTACGCTGTCCTCCGTCCGAAAGTCCTCCGGCTCCAGCTTGTACATCAGCTGCACCAGAGTGCTCTGCCCACTTTGCAAAGCCTTTCGGATGATCTTGGCCGCAAGCAACGGCCGGTCATCCTTGCGAGTCGCTGTCAAGGTCCATTTGACTTCAGTCACGAAGTGCGAGAAAGTCTCGGGCTTCCCATCCCAAACGGGGATGAGGTTGCGCTCCTCTGCCGCCGGGATGTTCCCAGAAGCCAATTCAACTGAAGATCATTGCACGCACTAAAGCCCGCTTCATTTTAGCTCCAAGGGGCCCCTGAGTCGCAACAGCCGCGGTTGACATGTGCTTCAGTGACAGGTCGTGAGGAACACAAGATGCAGGTTGGATCCTATGGCGTTTTCCAGGACGTAGAATAACATCAACTTTCGGATGTCTCAATGTCAGTCATGTAGGACTGCAGACTTTCTCCCTCTAAGTTCCTTTTTCTGGGTCACCACACATGTGCGTTCATGGGCGCAAAGAATCCCACCAACAAACCCTAACGGTCATGGATGTAACCGTGGGTCTGCGGCCCAACGGCAGATTGACAATCTGAGTTTCAGACAGTTTCGTTGAGAGCATCTGCCTGCACGCATGCAGCACCACAAAGTGTCAGGAATTCTTTTTGGATAAGTGTAACTCGTCAGTGCCACGTTCTGGATGAGCCGCGCTGACATCATGGCATCCTTGCCTACTCTTCGGAAGTCGGAAATCCCACCCTGGAGTCATGGCCTCGAAGTATGGATGGTGAAGGACCCTCGACGCTGAGTGCCGCCGGTTCGGGTCCCACTGCATCATTGCCTGAGGTGAATTACAAGATGTTCCAGACTTGCAGTTTCAGGTGTTTTCGGTGCTTTGTGTAGAGCTCAATTGGAACCTGTACGCAGAACTGCAGAACCTGAGCTCAACCGGACTCTCCTGCATGAGCTGGATGCCGTCCGCATTGGCTTGCGGCACGAGGGTCTCCAGCCTTGTAGGCACGAACCTTGGAACCAGGTCTAAGGGCCACCCAGCATCAGCCAGAATTGCGGTTCAAGTCTACTAACCCATCTCAGGCTGGCGCTGTGGAAACCGATAGCCCAACTGCGCTGCCAACTTAAACCCATCTGGCCAGCTGACCTGGAGACAGAACCAGTCCACTGACAGGCACCGACGCAAGGCTTAAAAAGCGGTATCATCTGGGTCCCGTGCAGTAGTCGGGGTGCCCAGCACGCTACATATCTTGTAGAGCCTCAATTACACCATGAGTAGCAGTCTGGACGTGAACGTTGCGGCTTAAGATCGTCCTGAGGGAGATGACATCACAGGTGCTTCACCTTGTGAATCTTATGAATCTTCTATCGGTCAGTACAACCTAAATCCCGAAGCATGTCCTTGCCGACGTCAAGGCACTGATCGCTCTCGGATGCGCCTGGAAATAGTGGCCTGCCAGAAAGCAGGAAGTTCCAAGGAAACAGGTTGGATACTGGACTTCTGCCAGGTATTCCTCAACACTAAGGTCGAGGTTTCTTCTTCCGCACTCATAGGGTCCTTACGTCGGAAAATCGAAGACCGTCCGTGAGTTCAGCTGCGCTGGTTCCGCTTGGACTATTGCTGTGTCTTTTGACGCTGGTGACCCCTCTCGCTTCTCGCATGTGAGAACAAAGCCTACTCACCAGGCCAAGCCTCAGCGTGTAAAGCTCTGCCATGATGCCACCGCAGGCCTCAACACGCCAGCAAAGCATGGAACCAGCATGGAAAGCTGAGGATGTCTTGTGATAAGAACGTAGGAACACTGTTACATCTTCCATCCCTTGGCCACTTTAGGTGTTGCCATGCTCGGCCCCGCGCCCAGATGTCCAGCGGGGAGTTGTAGACGGAGCTACGCAACAGCACCTCCCACCAGGCAAGGTGAAGAGACAGCAACCGACTTTCAGTTTGGGAAATCCCTGCATAATCTTCCTGAATCCTCAAGCCCCCAGAGCCAGGAGAGCCTCGGGTGCCCGGTACCACCGAGTTGAGACATATTCCGTGAATGGGGGGCGCCTCAGGAAGCACAGCTTTCAGCGTGCTCACGCTTTGCTGCAGTCTTACTGGACTTACTGCTACCTCTTACCATGAATGAAGTCATTGCAATTTCACGCCTGAAATTGTAAAGCTACTGAAGTTATCACTTTCAGCAATGCTGAAGACGCTACTTACTGCTGTTGTCTGCCGCCTCTAAACTCTGAGACGGCCATTGCCATTGTGATGGACAACTACTCCAGGACCTTCCACAGACTACAGACTGCACCCCTGATTTGGTCCATGATCAAAATTCCTGTTCCTGAGCTTGCCCTTAGCTGTCCACAATATATAACCCATTATAATAGTTTGCATTTTCTTTTCCAATCTCTCCGTATAACCCCAATATAAGCCTAATGTTATTTTTTTCAAATCCTGAAATCATTTCCCAAAAAGGACCGTCAGATCAACCCCCATTTGGGATATCTGAGACTTCCACGCTCTGATTTCACGCGCCAGGCCAAAATCCGCAAGTTTGACCGTGTCCCCACTAACCTCAGCAGCAGGAAGGGCCATGTTTTGCTACTCATTGGGGTCATATTAGGGTTTTATTGGGGTTATATAGGGATAATGGAAAATGGGAACTACTATTGTTGGAACTTAGGTTTCAAAGTAATCCAAGCTCCTGATTGGTAAAAGCCCCTACTTTCATTTTTCTGGCCAGGTTTAAGTGCCAACTATTCAGAATGACGACGAATGTGAAGACTTCAGCTCAATGCTGCTTCAGCACCAGATGTTCTTCAAATGTGGGGGACCACGTTCCTGACACAGAATGTGAGCAATCCTGTCGGTAACAACTTCAGAGAAGGGCCAGTGCCAAAAGAGCCCATCATGAATCCAAGCACCTCTTCTTGCTGGTGGCTCGTATGGAATGGAGGAACTCACCCCTACAGTGGCAATATGCAGCCCATGCTAACCACAAGCACGTCTTTTAAACATCATCGCACGCAGACATTGAATTCTATCAGTCAGGGTTCCTCGAGCAGATGTTCTGCATCAGACTTTCCCTCCATCTTGCGTTTGGCTACCTGCTCAGCAGCAACAAAGCTTTCTTGAGGACGTCCAAAGAAAGTTGCCACGTCACCGCTGTCGTCCAGCATCCAAAACCTTGCACAATTGGCTAAGGCCGACATGAGCCCACAACCTTGGAAGAAAAGAATTGTCCCCGAACCTTGGGAAAGCGACGCTGCACATGAGGCGGCTTCGTCAAGACTTCAAAAGTAGTCACATTCACAAGCATGTACGCGGTGTGTCTGAGAACCAAGAGACCTACGAAGACAAACCAGATCAAATTGAACGCAGCTGCAACGAGAACTATGAGCGGCTGTAGCTCGGGAGCAAGGGACCCAGTTGTCAGCGCGTGCAGAAGCTCACCAAATGAACCATGTGAAATCTCGGGAGCCACTGTGTCAAACACGTACAAGAAGACTGCGTAGTAGAAGAAAATGATGGTGGCGAAAAGGAGCAGGACAAACACGTAAAAGGATCTCTGGTTGCCCAGGCCCACGCAGTTATCAATCCAAGGACAGTAGTGATCCATCTTATCAACGCAGCGGCCAATCTCCTTGCAGTGGTGGGATCGCATCCCACGCCGTGCACGACAAGTGACGCACACATGCTTGAACTCCCCTTTCTCCACCAAAGAAAGGTACTCGCCACATCCTTCTGCAAGGAGCTGCTCCACTCGCGCACGGCCCAGGCTTTCTCCTGTGGACCTCTCGCGCTCATGAAGAGCCTCTGTGGCCCGATTCAGTTGAGCCCGTTGAGAGGCAACGCGCTCCTGGTAACCTGGAGCCATGAGTGGCTGATATTCGCCCTTGGCCGGGCTTCGAGGGTCGCCCATCCCGCAGAGTCTTTCAAGCTGCTTCCTTGCTTCTCGCAAGACCTGCCTCTGATAATTGTACTTGTTCTGCTCTAGCTCGAGCTTCATGACTTCTGACGCTTCACCATTGCATGTTGACGTCAGCTGCTGCAAAACGCTATCACAATGAGCCATCTGCGACTCAATTGGCTGCTCAAGATCGAACATCTTAACCGCGTCATTGCCCAAGAGGTGATGCTGCGGGTGTATGCTACGCGGCCGCAAGCAGCCGGGGTCAGAGAAGCAGCACTGCACCCAAAGGAGCAGTGATAGTCCCATGAGTACGGACCAGTGCATCACTGCTTCTGGATTTCTAGCCGCAATACCTGGAGCTACAATAACCGCGAACACCAGAATGTTGAAGGCAATGAAGCATATGAACAAACTTGCGAATGAATTGCGAAAAACGTACGGTCTGCCCAGAAGGAAGTTCAAGACCTGGGACTTGTGGAAGCAGGCCACCATGTACCTGTTCTTCTTCTGCATGGCGAACTCAATTGGAGTTACCCCGTTGCGGTCAGGGACGTCCAGAAGCTTTACGGCCCCAACCTCCATGAGCATGTCTGCGATGAGCTCGTGACCTTTCATGGCTGCCCAGTGGATTGCTGTCATGCCATCACGGTCTCGGTGGACGATGCTAGCAGATCGCGAAAGCAACCACTGCACGGTCTTCTTGTTCCCATTGTAGCATGCCCAGTGAAGGGCGGTTCTACCATCGTGATCCTGCTCTTCTGTGCTAATACCCTGCAAATACATCCATTCCATTATGGGAGAGTTGTCTTGCTTTGCAGCCGCGATGAAAGGGGTGTGCCCGTCCATGTCATGCAGCGAGAGCAAAGCTCGATTGGCCCGTGTCATTGCATCCAGGCCAGCGACATAGGAAGACATCGCAGCAAAATGTACTGGAGATTCCCCACAATTGTTGACAATGTCGGGGCGTGCGCGCTTTTCTAAAACTGGGCTCAGCAAAATGTCCAGCCTGAAGTATGCAATCCAGTGTAGAGCAGTGTTGCCAACAGAGTCCTGGCCATCCACTCTGTAGCCCTGTGCCAGCATCTCCATCACTGCCTCAGTGTTTTGCTGTGCCGCAGCATCTGCCAGCGTTGCGTATCTGCCACTGCTGCTGCAAGGCGTTGGATTGATTCCATAGCTCGACATGCTTGGCTAGCTAACGTTAGAGAAGCGCGCTGGGGAATGCTCAATGTAGGCTAGACAGCGTATCAAGCTACCACAAGAATTGACAGGCGCCCCTTGAACCTTGATCCATTCAGGCTTCGCGTTCAGCTCACTGCTATTCTGAAGCTGTGGTCATGCAATCTCACTGCTCTCCCTTTACATGAAGCTTCCCAAAACTTACGCGGTCACCATCAGTTGGGCAACTTCAAGTGAAGGGTTGTCCAATCAAGCTGCAGCTCCCTGTTTGGGAAAATTCCACGAGCATGTAATTTCGTGGACCAAGATGTTGTTCGCACACCCCATCTTAGTCACTGACCAGCAAGTTCTCTGGCTTCCTCAGTGTATCAACCGGTCACGGAGCACAATGCAAACACTCCTTCTCTCTCTTTGGTAACCGGGCTGGATGCTATGCTGAGCGCTCCGCATGTCTCGGTGAAAGTATCCATGTTTGTGCACATAGTTCATAGACTGCAAGCAAGTGATGCACATATCCAGCGCACAGCTGAGTGATGCCCACCACAGTTTGATGTGCACTGAACTGCCTGCATGGTCTGAAACATGATGTTTCGGACCTTGCTCTCTGGAATTGCACGAACCTCATCGTCCACAGACACATGCTCTGACAACTGGGTGCACCGTCATTCCAGAAGCGAACCCAGCAAACTGGGGCTGTGCTAGGATGTCGGCTCTGGATTTCATGAATTCGTACAAGTTCGCCTGACCAAAGCAGCCAGAAAATGACTGGAGCAACAAGATGCTGGCAAGCTCGTTAAGATGCACATCGCTCCTCCATGAACTCGAACACTAGATGAAGCTCATCATTTTCTCGGATGACCTCCCATACGTCAGCTCAAAGCGGCAAGCAACCTATTCCAGCCACGCCTCCTTCAGCTTCACTATGTTGGGATGTATGAGCCTGCATGGAAAGTACATGAAAGGACCCAAATGGTGTCTCGTAAACTTACTGGCGGTAAGAAGGGAGCTAGGGAACGGAATCCCTACAGAATCCCTGCATTCTAAATATGAATCTGCCCTACTAACCACCTGTAGGTAAAGGCCAGGTTGCTTCAAAGCTCAGCCCGGGGCTTCCGCAGTGATGCGATTTCACGAAGCTTCATACACTCATCCCAACCTCTCAGTGTCTGACTACTTAGGGCCAAACCACTGGGCTTCAACAACTAGGGAAGGCGCTGTAGTACTTCTGCTTCATTTTCTTGATTGCCACCTGCCAGAGTGGAGTAGAGTGGGGTAACACTGCATCGGAAACTCTTGAGCAACACCAAAAACCAGCGCACCCATTCGTTGGTCTGCTTGTTCTGGGCTTTCAGAACGGAGCCATATGTCCTGTGGATTTGAAATACACGCGCGTGGAATAGGGGAGAATATGAAGAGGGCAGACATGACATGCCGGTGCAAGCGGACTGAGTGGCACACCCATCTCCCAGCGTCTTGAGTACCTGCGACAAGTCAACGGCAATCCCTGTTACACAGAGGAACACTGCGTCCACGCAAGGATCCACCTTGTAGCGGTTCATCAAGCGCCGTCGCGCGCTGTGCTGGAGACGGGAACCTGCCCAAACTCGAAGAACATCTGCTGTTGTCAGTTCCTTGTGACCACATTGAGCCTCCCCGTCTTCCGCACAAGCGCCCTTCTCCACCAGCTTTGAGCCACAAGGCCAAACAAGCTTGTCATTAGCACAGCCGGTGCCCACTACACTTCTTGAATGCAAGCCATTGCAGCGTCAAATCCGCGACCCTACAAGAAGGCGACTTCTTGCATACAAAGTTAGAAAAGTCATGCATGTTCGAACAGAGCACATTGGTCATTGACAGTGTTGGTTGCACTGTTGACAAGAACGCTCCCACAAAAAATGAAGCTTACGACATCCTGAGGGTGGGCGTCGCGTCGTCGTCTTTGGCTCCGGGACGCCGCCGGCAATCTCGCCGGTGATTGGATTCACAACAGGGGCCTCGAATACATGGGCAATGCGCCAGGCATGTCTATTGCGCACACGGCATCCCATCCGCCGAGCCTGTTGCCGCCCGTTGGACTCAGCAACGCGGCGCTGCTCCTGACAAGCAGTGCACAAGCTGCAAGAGCATCCTGCCACGGAAGCTGCATGATTAGGAACATTACAACCTACAGTGTACCCCAAAAAACCTGGTAGAATTCTTGGACCCTACAGACCGGTCCTGCAAGGACTGGTCACTGCACAGCACGCGCATTCCACTTGCCACACCCATTTGGGGGCGGTAAACGCCAAAGCTCATCTTGCGGCTGTTGCAATCCGAATTGCCATGGCAAGCGAGGACCGAATGTGTATCTGTACACGGGTTTCGAGTGATGGCTGGCTGATGGCTGGCTGATGGAAGCTTGATCACCTTTAAGTCTATTAGAACGCAAATTCACAACCTCACTTAGTTATAAACAAATCATCAATTGGCTTCAACTTGTCGACGCTGGTTACACCAATCGCGGACTCGGTATTTGCAATCTCCGATTGATCGGCACCAGCTTGAGCAATCCAGCCAGTGCAGGACAGGACTTTGCAGTCCGAGGCAAATTGTCGCGTATGGAGCATGGCAAAACTCTTTTCGAGTTGGGTAACCAACTGGTGAGCAAGGGTAATTACAAGTCTCAAAGCTCTTTTTGATCAGCGTGCTCACCGCAGCGGTACACGAGCCAGCTCCCAGGCGTAAGGCCACCAACGGAGACTGGGCTGCGTCAGGCGTGAGCCGCAACCGTACACCGCAGAACTCGACAGACGGGCTTGTTCATGCGCAGCTTGCTCAATCCGTAATACCCACCTCGAGGCTCACCTGATCTCGCCTGGACGCGGCTAGCAGCTAGCTCGGCAGCTACCTTGACGAGTTCACCGCCCTGGCTCAGGAAATGAATGGTGCCACCTGGCTTGTTTTAGAAACCTTCCCACGATCTCTGGAAACATCCCTCTAACCTGCTTCAGCAGCTCGGCAAACGAAGAAAAGTTCAATCAAGTCAAAGTCACGCTCCCATTGAAGATGCGGGCCAGGTGTTTGTTGACCCACTCCACCTTGGCCGCCTCCGGAGCCTCGCTCACACGGGCATCTGGCTTGCCGTTCAAAGGATCCGCCAGCACTGCGCTGAGATCCGGCTCCAGGAGGAGGACCGTGCCATTCCCTGCCTGGCTCGTCTGGCTTCGTAGATGTCATGTAACGTAGTGGTGTTCACTCGTCGTCTACAAATATGTGTATACATGATAAATGATACGTATATAGCGGTAGCTAAGAATTGTGATGCTTGGCATCAAGGACTAGGGCCGGCCTCCGCGAAGCAAGAGCCCTTGCGCTTGTCGGGTGGCGGCAACGCCTCACCTCGACACGTCGCATCTATCTGCTTGGCCACGTTGGCGCCCATCTGCCACGCAAACTCTCCGGCCTTCAGGGTTCATGGTGTAGGGCTCGAATGTATAAGTATTCAGAGATGATACGGAGCTTACTGTTTCTATTGGGTCTCGACAGGCAGTGCTGTGCTCACCTTGGGATGTGGCAGCTCAGGCTGGATCATCGTCCAGCAGCAATCGCCAATGCAGTAGGGGACGTGAGAGGTGCCAGCCTTCACCATGGCCTCCGAAGTTGTGGGATGCAGGCTACAGTCGTCAGGCTTGAGATGGGGTCCGCTACACACAAGTTCAGGGTGCAGCTGGGATTTGCAGCAGCTGCAGGGCCTCGCTCGCAATGCGGTTGGTCTGAAGGTCCACGGGAACAAAGCCCCGAGCATTGACGAGCCCAGAGTCGCGAACGAAATCTGGCGCACGCTGCGGGTAGACGGCCCAAGCCAAGTCAAAGGCGACGGACGTGCCGTCTGCATAGTGTGCCAGGTTAGGCTCCAGTGCAGCCAGCTGCTTGTTGTTGAAGAACTCGACTTGTTTTGCACTCATTTCGGCCTGCTGCTGGGGAGTTTGATGGCTTCCGGGTTTGGGGTTTGCAGGGGTATACGGCCTGTACACAATATCTCAGTTTGCCATGTCTCGCCTCGAACTTGGGGCGGGTGGGGTCGGGCAGCGGCCATTCATTCGGCGCTGTAATCACAATGCGTGCTCCCTCACGCACACCCGTCGCCCGAAGCTTCGCATCCACCAGAAATGCAACCTCCCAGGGAGCAACGGGGCACTGGTACGGAACGGCTGCGATCGAAATGAGAAGCGTGGCCTTTTCGCTGGCCAGTACCTTGGCTTCTGCCAGCTGCGAGAAATGTTCCAGCTGCTCTTTCTGCGACACCACATTGTCAAAGCAATACAGGTTGAGCGCATGCTCGGTGAGGCCTGGAATTCTAGAGCCGTCGCTGACCACACCCGGCGAAAGCACCAGCTGGTCGTAGGCGATTGGGGTGCCATTGGCAAGGATTGCCTTCTGTGCCGCGAGATCTAGCTTTGAGACAGAGGTGTTCAACATCAGACTAGCCATCGGCGGCAAAGCTGCACTGGAGAGTGGCCATCTCGTCTTGTCCTGGGACAACCGGCCTGTCCAAACGAATTGCCACGTGCCGCCGATGGTGAAAGTGTCTTTCTTGTCCACGATGGTGACACGCGCAGGCGTCTCTAGCTGTCCAAGCGTGTGGATGCAGCCCAGGCCGCCAAAGCCAGCACCAACAATGAGTATGTGCGGCTGGTGAGGCTGTTCTGACACGTCATCCCCAGCCATGGCACAGCTGTCAAGCTAACATCAGGAAGCAGGTCAAATGATAGATTGAAGTCTAAGCATGACACATCTTGACACCACCCGTCCGTGGCAGGTATTTGCTGCATTTTTCGAAAACTTCTGTAGCCACATCACTATCTGTCATCTTGTCCATTCGCGACAACATGCCAAAGAACCTGCATCCATCGGCAATTCGTGTTTACAATACACACACACACACACCGCGATGACCCTATTCTGCCACACCTTTTCTTTATCCCCAACTGACACCTCCTTTAGCCTCAGGCATCTCACACCAGGCTTGGCCTCCTTGCGAGGCTTGCGTCCGCGCTTCAGGGCTACCGCACCACCCAAAGGCACCAACTTAGTCGGATGTAGCACGGGGCATCAGATGGCTGCCTGAAGGTCCGGGATAGTCTCACATGCTACTTCTGTCAGGGCACGGGTCCTGTTGCAAAAAAATCCGGAGGCGCCTGACGCGCGTTTGAATCTGTACAAACATGTGAGCTGATGCTAGCTGCTGCTAGGGCCACCTGTACAGGCAGAGCCAAAACCCAGTGGGAAAAAAGCTATGCCGTGGCCCGGTGAAAATGAAATACAAGCCCTGCCAGCTCTCCCTGTTAACATACCAAACCGACCAACAACAACCAGCAAGACCCCAGCAAAAACCAGCAACTATCAGAAGAGAGAGCAGCAGGGGCGGCGGGCGGCTCAAAGGGGGGTCACTAATGCGCATCTCCTCCTCTTGAACACTCCACTTCAACTAGGCTTCACCCATGCACAAACGCTATGCCAGCAAGCATCCTCTTGTTGACAAAGTCTTGTAACATGGTCAGCAATGAAGGGAGAACCAATTCTGGGCCAAGTCATCGGCAGTCTTGGGGGCGCCGAAATCCTGTCGGAGCATTTTGGCTGCATCTGCTAGGGTCTCGTGCGGGTCACCCTCGACTGCTGCCAAAGTGACCTCCACGGCGCACATAGCACTCTCCATATCGGCCGAATCGGTGATCTCTTGGGCCAGTGCACGCCGAAGCCAGTCTGTGAAGGTTTCGTAGAGGCCCGAGTGCGAAGAGGTAGCGTCGATCTCACGCTCATCTGCGCATGATGCTTCATCGGTTGAACCTTCTGGCTCACCCTGCTCCATCCATGCATCCAGCTGGTCTTGAAATTCAGCTCTGCGATTTTCGTTTCCTTTGGTTCTCGTACACTTGGGATCTGCGGACTCGGCCTCATCCTCCTCATCTGGAACCTCCGTCTGGGCCGTTTCTTCTGGAAGTTCATCCCGCACGCGCATGAGGATGTTGCCAAGATGATTACTCTTTCCGCCCCAGAATTTGTCGCCCGTGTGACCCTCCACAAGCTTTTGACCACGTGTGGCAAGCAACTTCTTGCGCAAATCCGCATCCCTGGCGAACTTTGAGCGAACAGCGGCCAACATCACGTCCACTTTCAGACTCTGCCAACCTGGACGCACCTTGACCTTTCCACCCTTTGATTTTGCATCCATGGGATTGTCACCAAGCGACCCGCCGCATGTGAACGAATCCCTTCCGTCCCGGTCCTCAATCTTAGCGGCTTGGTACGCGTGCTCAGAAGTTGGGTACAGATCACCTTCGAGCTCCACACCGTGCCGGCAGGGAAAGAAATTCGACAGAAAAAAGAATTCTCCACGGAATCGATTGATTGGCATTGCGGTTCCAATGCCAGGATGCACCAGCTGGAGTGTACGCACAAACCTTGAGCCTGATACCGTGCAACATGATGTGGCAGCTCTCCCTCTACCTCTGAAGATGTCGTTTTTGACCTTGGCACTGTTTCGGCTCAATATCAACACCCTGGATGTGTTTTATGAAGCTTTCGTAGACAACCTGATACATTTTGATGTAGGTTAGTAGCTTGCTTGCACTCTCCTCAGTGGTCTGTTGTTGGCGAGCCACCCGTCGGACTGCCATTGGCCCTTTTGACCCAATTTTACGAATGAAGGATAAAGGCACAGAAAGTAGAGCTTGGAAGCTCGTTTTTCAACCTCAGCGGCTGCGGCGCTTTCGCTGCTGCGAAGCCGGCGGTTCCTCAGGCACAGGCAGCGCCTCGCTGTCAGGTAGGTATCCAACAAAGTTGTGCAACGAAACTGCCTCCTGGGACTTGAAGTTGCAATGCACTTGCAGGCCAACACTGAAAAGCTGGCCTCTGATGCCGGTCTCGCAGAAAGCATCATCTCAGCCTTCCGCTGGGCGTCATGCACGTGATTTCTTACCCTGAATATCTCATCCAACCTCGTCTGCCTACTTTCAATATGGGGAACCCTCTAGGAGACATGTATTGTTGGGGCCTTGCGGAATCTCCAGCAGCTTCAGGCATCTACAGTAATCCTGCAGCCACTGAAACCACTGAGACCCAAAACCCCAAGCTCACAAACTAACCCCAAAAATCCCAAATCCCTCCGACACGAACCACTCCTACGCCACAAGCGCGCCCCAAGCCCCCTGTAACTGACAGGCACCGTTCCTGCTCGCGGCTGCGGTTGCCCATCCGGCGGGAGCGCACTCGCTTCGCCTTGGGCGCCACAGGCATGGCCTTGGGCAGCACCAGACCTGCACAATGGAGGAACTGGCAAGGGCCTCCGAAAATTAGATGTATCCATACTGGAAGTAAGGGACAACAAAGGATTTGAAGTGGTTTTACGGTTTGGGAGGCCTGGCCAGGTAGGTTAAGAGCGTGGGGTAGGGACGTAGAGAGCACACCAACTGCGAGCACCTCTGGTTGTAAATTGCCTGCCTAGGACTCAGGCTTAGGGGCCACCATCTTGGAGTCTAACTCTAAAACGCAATATACACATTCCAGCACCATGTGCACCAGAGTGGCACCTCAGTGGGTGATGCATGCTGCAGCTAGAACGCGGCCTGCTTTTGGCTTCGTGGACTTCTTGCAGGAGAGTGGGTTCACTCCTCAACGCGTCACTACAAGCCGAACTTGCAATGGAATTGCTCCAGCATAGCCCCATGAAGCCATCCCAACAGATATCTGTCCAACTGTGTCCCAGGAACGGCAGAATGACTGTCACATCCTAAGAGGATCTGAATAGCCAGGTCCTCGCTTCTTCCTCTTGGCCTTGGGCTTCGCTGCCAGGGCCTGTTTCAGCACTTCTTTCGCCTGCCAGGCAACGTTCGGCTCAAATGAGTAGCATTCTTTGAGGTTGAACCACTAAGCTTTCTACGTATTTCACACTGCCATTAATCTGAATAGAACAATGATAATAACAATGATGCAAAGGACAGCATTCAAATACAAACCGTGATACTAATGCTAGGAGGGTTGAGACCCCCAATATGGGGAATCAAACGGACAAGAAAAGGGAAAATGACATGAAAATTGTGTTTATATAGGGGTTTATGGGGTTATGGGGTTTCCCCTCTGGAATTATGATTCTTCTTGTTTGCTATCCATTGCATTCGCGATGTTTGGGTTCCCATTTTCTCCGCCACTATCCTACATGGTCCCGATATGGTAGTTTCCCAAAACAGGAACCCCAATAAATACCTCAAAATTACGATAATCCTTATTAGGGGGACTCTTAAAAGGGTACCCCTAATTTTGGGAAACCCTCATACATCCTTATATACCCCGATATAACCCCAGAAGCCCTAAATAGTTGTTTCCATTCTCTTTTCCATTATCCCCCCAAACTCCCCATAAATCCCTCCCTAATCCCTAAACCCTAA